TGAAATATGATACTAAAGATGTGTTTATTAAAACGTGAAAAGATGTAGAATAAATAATAATTTTTTTTAATAAACTTGGAATTTTCAATGATTAAATTAGTGGTCCATATTCGTTCTCAAATGTTCTCGATTTAAAAAATGTTTTCATTCAAACATATAATATATATTATATATATATATATATATATATATATATATATATATATATGGGATAGAGAATATACATTACAGCCCTACATAAGCTTAGGTACTAAACCTCTAAATTATGCACTTTTATCTTAGTAAATATAACCGGTTCAGCTTTCACTTGGTAAATATACAATTCTCAATTGCATTTCTTTCCTATATTATCGTTTAACCATCCATGTTTTCTTTCCTCCATTATCGTTTATTACTTCATATTAGTGGACATTATTGTTTTCCACCATCATCAAGGTCAAATATAATTAACATTTTTGTTTCCCTATCAAAATTATTGCTTCAATATTGAATCTGCAATGTAAAGTGTTAATCATGAATCTACTATTTGCAATCTTTATCTAATAAAACGACATAGTTTCATGAGGTTTAGTACCTAAACTTAGGTGGGGCTGTAATGTATAAGGGTGAGCATTTGGACCGAACCGGACCGGCTCTTGGACCGGACCGGCTCTTGGACCGGACCGGTTATGGAGAATATTGTGGACCGTGGACCGGACCGGATGAGTCGTGTCCATGTCCGGGTCCGGGTCTGGGTCCAGGTCCAGGTCCGGGTTTTCCGGTTCTTGGACCCGTTTGGACCGGTACAACTTTAATTGCATAGAGTACAAGTCGTTAAAATAAGTTTTTGAGTTTGATAGAACTCGTTAAAACGAATGTGTTATTGGGTTTGATACGATACAACTTGTAAAAATAATTACGTTTTCGTTTCATTCATAACTAATCTACCTTGACGTTATAATATTATAATTTGCAAAATTAATTTTCCAAATAAAAGCAACTAACACATAAATCAAGTTCACCAAGATCTATTTCATATGATTTATCTGTCAAAGATACATAAAATTCAGAATTATAGTCTAAAATAATAGTTAGAAAGCTGAAATATTTCAGCTTTGATAGCTAAACTTTGAAGGATTTCAACTCACTGAATATAATACCAAAATCAACAAAATTATAGTCTAAATTTATCTACAAACTGTAAACTAAATGTTGGAAAAAACCGCAGGTCAATCCGACTTAAATCAAATGAGTTATGGTTGTTTAAAAAATTTCACAGATTACAAAATTTTAAAAATCTTGCTGAAAAGCTGAAATTTTTCCAGTTTTGATAGTTCAACTTTGAAAGACTGTAACTCATTGAATATAATACCAAAATCAATAAAATTATAGTCTAAATTTATCTATAAACTGTAAACTAAATGTTGGAAAAAAAACGCAGGTGAATCCAACTTAAAACGAATCAGTTATGGTTGTTTAAAAAATTCACAGATTACAAAATTTTAAAAATCTTGCTGAAAAACTGAATTTTTTCAGCTTTGATAGCTCAACTTTGAAAAACTGTAACTCATTGAATATAATACCTAAATTAACAAAATTATAGTCTAAATTCATCTACAAACTGTAAATTAAACGTTGGAAAAACCCGCGTGTCAATCCGACTTAAAACGAATGAGTTATGGTTGTTTAAAAATTTTCACAGATTACAAAATTTTAAAACTGTTGCTGAAAAGCTGAAATTTTTCAGCTTTGATAGCTCAACTTTGAAAGACTATAACTCATTGAATATAATACCAAAATCAACAAAATTATAGTCTAAATTCATCTACAAACTGTAAATTAAACGTTGAAAAAAAACCGCGTGTCAATCCGACTTAAAATGAATGAGTTATGGTTGTTTAAAAAATTTCATAGATTACAATTTGTTTTTTTAAATCGGATCCAACCGGTTCTAAACCCGGTAAAAACCGAACCGGGCCGGGAAAACACCGGACCGGTTTTAATGGGTTCCTAGAACCAAGAACCGGCCCGGGGGTCCAAAAAAACGGTTCGGTCCGGTCCGGTTCACCGGTCCAAATGCTCAGCCCTAGTAATGTATATTTACTTTTCCATATATATATATATATATATATATATATATATATATATATATATATATATATATATATATGGTTGAGATTCGTTGAGAACTCATAGTTTCCGGAGAACCTAAGAACTAAAGGTGGAACGTTGGATCAAAATCAACTCATTAAGGGCATTATCGTCATCATACCAATCCCACTTAATTTTTTGTATTATTGAAAATATTAATAAAAAGCTTTCAAATTAACATTATAAAACAAATTTTTGGATTTTTTTAATAAAAGAAATAACTATCGTTTTTTTTTAATTGCAGATTTTTTAACTTTTTTGGAAAGCATAAATTTTTAAAAAATTTGAAATTTTTTTTTAAAAAAAACTATAATTTTTCAAAAAAAACTGCAATTTTTTAAAAAAAATTGTAATTTTTTTTTAAATGTAATTTTTTTAAAAAAAACTACATTTTTTTCTAAAATACTGCAATTTTTTTTCAAAAAAAAGTGCAACTTTTTCAAAAAAAACTGCAATTTTTTTTAAAAGCTGCATTTTTTAACAAAATATAAATATTTAAAAATCAGTAAATTTATAGAAAAAAAAAACTAGAATATTTAAAAAAATTCTAATTTTTTTAACAAAAAAATCAACATTTTAGATTCATTAATGTATTTTTTTTTCAAATGAATATATGCATATTTCTTAAACTATAATATTCGTAAGTAATCATAAAAAATCTCAATTTTACTATTCAACCTATAAACATAATAGTACAAGTTATCATTTCTTCATATTAAGATTTTCATATTTTCTTCAATTTATCACTTTTCACCTCTTCAATATTTTCCACAAATTCTTCAAAATCTACAAAAAAATTAAAAAATTTGATTAATGCAAGAACACTCACAAAAATACACATGCGTATATTATATAAGATTCGCATGTGATTATATCATGTAAGATTCTCATCGTGATTATATAATGTGATATTCACATGTGATTTACATGTGAATCACATGTAATTCAATATGTGAATTATATGTGATTTACATGTGATTCATATGTGAATCACATGTGATTCACATGTGAATCACATGTACTTTATATATGAATCACATGTAATGCATATTAGATTCATTTGTATACTCTTTTAATTACAATAATCATTATTGCAAATACTTTGGGTTTATAATAATCATTCAATGTAATAATGTCATTCATCGATTCCAAAAAAAAAAAAACGTGCAGATGATGTGACTACAACACTCAGAAATTAGCAATGTACTTTATTTAAGAAGGGGGTGAAGGGTAAAATGGTAATTGTAGTAGCATCAACATCATACCAACAACACTTCCAATTGCTGTAAGCCAGAGAACCCTCATGGACCATTTATCACTAATCACTCCTCTAGTAGTTCCCATTTGTAACTCTGGCATATACATTACAACAGAATGAAATTCAATTATATTCCTTTGTATTTGGAATATGTAAATAATGAGAAATCCATAATCCTTCACCATTTTACTTTTTGACTACAAAAGTCAAAATGTGTCCATCTATTCAGGTCTAAGAACTTTTTGTTATCAACTTCAATTTTTATATCAACAAATCAATAGAAACGGATTGGGGGTGTTACCTCTTAGAAGATTATATGGCATAGAACTGCTTTGAAGCATTCACTTATGGAGCTTCATCAACAATATACCCTAAATCTAGCATTGAGATGTGTCTCTGCAAGTCAAGATATTACAGTCAAAATTTATGAAACAGAGATTGAAAACTTAACGAATCTTCAAACGGGTAATGTAAAAAAACCAAAAAAATAAGCACTTTTAACACCTTTTGCTGCAAATGTGAGGGATTCGAGAACTAACATATACCTGTGTAACCCTGTGTGAGCGGAGCGAAAAGAGCGCATATGAAGATGAACATATGCAGTCAAATAATCATTCATCGATTAAAAAAAAAACGTGAATATGCAGTCAAATACAATTTCACAGTTCCAATATCACAATGAAACCGATTTACATATGCAAGCAAATTGATATACATATGCAGTTAAATACAGGCTCATAAGCAAGAAAAAACCCACTGGTGTTTCCCCTGTGGGTACCGAACCAAGAAGAACTAACACTGAACAGATGAACAGAAGAAATCGGAGATTCAACAGATGAACAGAAAAAAATCAGAGATGCAGTCAACAGATAAAGCAAATCAGATGTACAATGTCAACAGATGAAAAAAATCGCTTTTGTGGCTTACCGGATCGGAAGTGGAGTTGAAGCCGACGCCGACACCGGTGATGTGGAGCAGAGATCGGTGGTCTGCAAAGGAGATCAGAAGCCTTAGAGGGAATCAGAAGGAATACCTTCATAATCGACAATCAGGGAGGAAGTCATGGATTCCGAGGTTGGATCGTTGATTCCACACGGCTGATGCGAGATTTAGGAAGAACAAACGACGAAAGAAAAGGGATATCACAAGGCGTGAGAGAAGAGGGTGGTAGGTGAGGACGACGAAGGTTTGGAGAGAATGATCGGATGGTTGCTTGATCTTTGATCTTTAAGACATAACAATTTTTTTACCGAAATTACCCTCATGATTATTTTTAAGAGACCTGGTATGCCACTCGTTTTACTAATATTTACAAATTGTGACACGCCGTCCAAAAAATTATCCAACGTTCCACTTTTAATTCTTAAGTTTTCGGGAAATTATAAATTTTCAAATGATCATTCCTCTATATATATATATATATATATATATTAGATATATATATATATATATATATATATATATATATAATATATATATAGTATTAGGTGTATTCAGGAATAGTGTAGATTTGCCGTTCTAATATAATATATATATATATATATATATATATATATATATATATATATATATATGGAATTGTAATAAATTAATTAAATAATACCCAAAATCATAATATTAAAGGAGGTCGCAGAAGAGGGCTTGAGCCCGTATTTTGCAAAGTCTGTTTTTGATTGAATCCAGGGTAACTCACCCCCCCCCCCCCCCCCCCCTTCTCTTGTGGCAATTACGACTGTGTTCCAAGTATTCATCTGTATCCAATGAAGATTTTTAGTTTCTGGATGATTATTGAACTTGTTATTTCTACTTTTTAAGTGTGAATTAATCAAGTTCTTCCTTTCAATCCGGTTGAAATTTTGTTTCTGGTGAGATCTGTATATGCTAATTAATCTGCAGGTAGCTGAATCGTGCTAGTCCTCACTGTAATTTACCTGTTGTGTCACTACTGTTTGATTCTTCAACAGTTTAACTAGGATGAATTTGCTGTTGATCACGCCTCCATTGTGTTTTGGTTTTAGCTACCTGGTAGCAATTAGGCTTCGCGTGATTATTTGCAATGCATTAAAGGTCCATTTCCATAAATATTTTATGGTTTATGTAGTTCAGTGATCTAGAGTATTTCAAATGATATGGTCTTTCAGACTTCCACTGTGTTATTTCAATAGACATCATTGGGATTAAGAGTTTTCTTTAGTTGGTTTGCTCTAATTTCATTCTTGTAGCTGGACTTGGACATGATGTGATTTAGTATTTTTAGATAGAGTTATGACTTATGAGTTGTGACGTGAAATCAATTATCGATGTTTCTTCTACAGATTCATAAACAACAAAATCAAGCAACAATTTCTGTGATGGATCAAGAAACAGTACTCCCACCTCATGTGTTGATATTCCCGTTGCCATTACAAGGCCCTGTGAACTCCACCATCAAGCTAGCTGAGCTTCTATGCCTCTCGGGTCTCCACATCACCTTACTTCTCACTGATCCTATCCACACCAAACTCCTCAAATACTCAAATATACAGTCCCGTTTTAGCAGCTACCCAGGTTTCCACCTAGAAACCATACCTGATGGCCTTCCAGAAGACCATCCTCGTTCCATTGATCGCTTTATCGAAGTGCTGGAATCTTTAAAAACCAAAAGCAGTATCCTCTTCAAGGATCTGTTGACCTCAGGCAAACTAAGTTCAGATTCACGCAGACCAGTAACTTGTATAATTGCAGATGGAACTATGGGGTATACCTGTGATGTAGCTAATGAAATAGGTATACCCATTATGTATATTCGTACAATCAGTGCTTGTTGCCTGTGGGTCTTCTTCTGTTTTCCCGACCTCATTGAATCCCGTGAACTACCATTCTCAGGTGCGTATATTTCTTGTGTTCCTCCATTTTTGATAGCCGATTTACTTTTTTGATTAATCAATTTCTAATAGGAAACGACCTAGATACACCGATAAAGAGCATACCAGGCATGGAAGAATTCTTGAGACGCCGTGATCTTCCACTGTTTTGTCGTTTTAACTTGTCAGATCCAAATGTCAAAACCTATCTCTCTGAAGGTACAGAAAACCCAAGAGCTCATGGACTTATACTTAACACTTTTGATGATTTAGAGGGTCCAATCGTTTCCCAAATACGCACTTCCTGTCCAAATTTATACACCATTGGTCCACTACACGCTCATCTGAAGATGAAGCTCGAATCTTTCTCCTCGTCACTACCTTCTTCAAACAGTCTGTGGAAAGAAGACATGAGCTGTATTCCATGGCTGGATTCACAACCATCAAAATCCGTGCTGTATGTTAGCTTTGGAAGTCTTGCTGTAATGTCAAAGGAGAAATACATGGAGCTCTGGTATGGGTTGGTGAATAGTGGTTCCCGTTTCTTGTGGGTCATACGGCGACATTCAGTCCTGAGTGATGTCATTGAAATCCCACCGGAACTTTCCAAAGGCACGGAGGAGAGAGGATGCATTGTTGAGTGGGCTCCGCAGGAGAAGGTGTTTGGCCCACGGTGGTGTGGGTGGGTTTTTGACACACAGTGGGTGGAATGCGACGCTCGAGAGTGTGGTTGAAGGTGTGCCGATGATTTGTTGGCCTTACTTTTTGGATCAACAGGTGAATAGTAGATTTGTAGGGGAAGTGTGGAAGTTGGGTTTGGACATGAAGGATACGTGTGATAGAGTGATTGTGGAGAAGATGGTGAGGGAATTGATGGAGGAGAGGAAGGATGAGTTTAGGAAATCAGCGGATAAGATGGCGAAACTTGCAAAACAATGTTTGATGGAAGGTGGATCGTCTTATTGTAATTTAGAACGTTTAATTAAGGACATTAAAGCAATGTAATTATAATAACTGTTAACAACTTAACATATATGAAAGTTTGGCTTTCCAGAATACATTAAGTGAATGACATTCATGAAAAAGTAAGCTGCAAGAAGTCAAGGTGTTCAACACATATAGTATCTTTAACTTCTTTTAGATAAAAGAACTTCATCATCTTTTGCTTGTAATCTAATATGACATCAATGTTCATGTCTTGGAGTTGTTTAATTAAGCTCTCATGGAGGTTCTTTAATGGTGTAAGAAACACTTTAATACAAGATATAACCTATCTATAGATGAATTTGCACACTGGTCTATCAAGATTTGCATAAAAATATTTAAGTCTAAAGTATCCAGATCAAGAAAATGAATGAAAACCAGAAATTCAAACAAATTCGAACCGCTCAATTTGAAAAAAGTCAAAAGTAATCCGTAAGACCGTAACGGGCCAAAAAAGGAAAGGAAAAAAAATGAACAAACGAGAGGTAAAGAGCAAATCAAAGAAAGTTTTTTGTGCATCAGTAAACATAAAGAAAAGGAGGCAATAGTAGCAGAAAGAGAAATATTAAGTTTTAATGCCAAATGACGGTTTTGATTATTTTAGGATCTTTACCGAATCAATCTTGATTGCAAGAAGTAGCCATGTTCGCCAAAACTAGAAAAGAAATGGATCAAATCTTTAATTAGCTTTTTTTTTCTTTTTTTTTTTCAAGTTAAATACAAAAGATGAAAAGAACGGGACAAAATTTTGAATAGATTAATTTTTGTAGCTAGCTATTGGGTTGAGGGATTCTCTTCAACTTCTAAGTTTTTTTTTTGAAACAGCAAATGCAATATAAATATATATAAAAGGAAAAGAACAAGCACTCACGGTTAGCAAGCAACTAAGACGTGGGCTTAAGTACAAGTAAGGGTAACGAAGCAAAAACATAAACAATTACATGATAGAATTTTAAAGATGAGAAAATGGAGAGCAACACCAGTCTGTCCAACTGCCGCAACCCGCCTTGCTCCTGTGTTTGCACCATAGATATGATAAAGATATAACATTGTCAGCTACTTTTGTGGACGAAAGTCTTAAATCCTTGTAAATTCTCTCATTCCTTGCGGTCCAGACATTCCACCAAAGAAAATATAAAATTGTAATGAAGATTCCTCTTTTTCTTGGACAATTACACCACGAGGCTGCGAAGTTGATGACTTCACGAGGTGAAGTAAGCCGTTGAGTTTTAACCCCACACCATTTAAGCACTCATTTATAGACTCCTTTAGTGAAGTCACAATCTAGCAGAAGATGATTGACAGTTTCTGGTGCTTCAAGTTACTTGTAATTTCTGGCTGATCATATACTACTTTCAAGTTTCAAAGAAGATGTTTTTAATGTTCTTGTGGACATATTCAACTAACATATAAAATCGATAATATAACTTCATTTCTTATTGTTCACCAATGCAACTTTTGCACGTCTCAATATGGCATGCAATTGCAATTGTGGCATTAATGGCATGACATCATCTGTAAGGAAGTGATGACTGATGAATATATGACGACGTACATTACCTTTTGTTTTGTTTTGTGTTCTGATGGATGAGAGTTAGCTGGTCAATGGTCAACATGTGATATTTTTAATTTTTATTTGGAATGCCCATTGGTTGCCCATAGGGTTTTGAAGCTTAATTTGTTTATTAGATGTTTAATGACGGAGGTATCATACAAGCACTTAATTTTCTAGTATTCCTCCTGTCTTATTAATAATACATTTTATGATTTTATTACCTTATATGGAATCCATGCTATGGTTTATTCACATATGGGATATGGGATATGGATGATGACATGTATTTTTATCATGGTTTTAAGGGACATTATTCAAAGTTGTTTTATTTTGGAATGGTGTGAAAAATTATAGATTTCTCACTCGAAACTTATAACTAATTTTATTCACCAATTTTGTTAATTTTGTGTAATTTATTTTGTTTATAATAATTCTGTGTAATTTATCTTGGAATCTGGACATGCTCGGGCTGACCGTTGACTAATCTAACTTCCACGCGGCAGGTAAGTATTGGTTGGGATGCACGGTAACGTTCCTTCTGGAGACTGGAATGGTCGGCTATGCTGGTGATCACTATGGAAACGTTCTTCAGTACTTGATCCAGTGTTTGCGCTTACCCCCTTAAACTTTGAGTTATTTTCAGAAATAGCTAGACTTTTTGTTATAGAACTCATCCGTTTTGTCGTGTAACAAAGAATTTTTAGTTGTGTTATTGTTGCTTACTTGCTTGCATTTGTAGTAATCGTCTTTAATTTTATAGTGTTTCATATATTATTGTAATTATTTTGGAGTACAAGGTCAAAGACTACTTGAACATTGTATTTGTAATATCACTTAAAGAAAATATTCCTTTAGTTTATATATTTATTAGTTGTTTGTTGATTTTAATTGCATATTATAATTTATAAAACCAAAACTTATATATTTTATAAAACTTATACAATCGTATAAAACCGAAACTTATACTAAAAAAAAAGAACCACCTGTTACACAAAAAAAACAAAAAAAAACCAAATAAAATGTATTTCGGAACCATGGTCCGGAATCGTATTCCGGATTTCCGAAGACCTCTCCGGAAAAATATGGCTACTTTATAATAATAATAATAAAAAAAGTTTGGATATTTTTGTCAAAAATGTCATTTATAAGAATTAGATTACTTTCATTTCCCTTAATTAAATATAAAGATAAGGAATTCATAAAACAATTAAAGAAAGTCGACCATAGCTTTTGCGTAAGGACCAATCCACTCCCTTGTTCCCTATTTAAAGAGCACTTCCTCTAGTTTTCTTTAAATCAATTAACATTTTCTTCCTTTCACAAGCACAAGCTCTCTTTCACAAGCACAAGCTCTCTGTCTTCTCTCTTCGATCAGCGAATGATGCAGAAAGTTGTAAGTATTTTATATATGTTTAAATCATTTTATCCGGCTATTTCATTGCATTTTCACTTTTTCTTGATTTTTGTTAAAACTATAATTCTATTTAATAGTTGCATTCAAATTTGTTATACGTTTAATAACATTTTAAAGTGGCGCAGAACCGCAGAAAGCTCAACTTCATTTTAGATTGATTGATCAATTATATTTGACGTAGTTTTTTGGTTTGAACAATTTCTCTTTTGATCCTTTTAACTTCAATAGTAATTTTATTTAGTCATTCATATATATATATATATATATATATATATATATATATATATATATATATATATATATTGGTGTTCTCAAATATATTATTTTGATATGTTGAATGATGGACCCAATAGTTCCAATTAAGACAAATTAATATGCATAAAACACATTTAGAAGTTTGTAGATGAGGTCGTGTATATATTGAAGAATTCAAACTTCATACATCAAATTCTTGTGATCGAGTCGAGATACATGCAAGTTGACTTTTGCACGCACTAGTATAAGTTATAACTATATCTTGAAGGATTGTTCTATATATATTTTTTATGACATAACAATTCACCATCTTTCGGTTGCATTTATTTATAACATTTGCAGCAAACATCAATGACGAGCACTGAAATGACAATTGTGATCAACGGGTTCTGTAACTGTGATGGATGCATACAAAAGGTGAAGAAGACACTTGGTGAACTTGGTGATGTCAAATTGTTAGCAATGAACCCTGAGATTGGAAAATTCACAATCTTAACTGCTAAACACCCTGAAGTAATCAAATTTTCTCTAGAGCGTACGTTTCCGAAGAAAAAAATCATTTTGTCTCTAGAAACCAACAATCCAAATCAATTGCCTCGTCAAAAATCTTGTTTCTCCTGTAACTCCTCAAGGTACTACCGATGTCCATGATATAGCCAAAACATTGATGACAATATTACACGCCAAAGGATTAGAAAGTGTGGAATACAATCAATGGAGCAGTTTAAAGATAAACTTCACTAATCATGGGATCCAACCATCTACCTCTAGATCATCATCCACTAAAATCCAAAATGTTGCGGGTTATAATGATTTTGAATATGCTCCACCATTGCCACCAAATCCTGTTAAGCCATCAGCCCCTTTCAACAATCCCTACAACTGAATACCATGTATATATATTGGGTGTCATGGTGAGTTATATGGTGCGTGAAGAAGTTCAAAGGATGGGTAGTTGCACCTTTCTTTGAGCTATCATCTATGATTCATAATATTGTGTGTGGCTTGAATTAGAGCATTGTGAATTGTTGTATATATTCCATGTATTTAATTTAATTCTTATTATTATTAGTGAGTTATTTTGTTTTAGCTATGATCAAGGGTTTAATTGTTTGATACTTTTCCCTTTTAAATCATACGGTATGTTCAAGAAACATCTTTCACTGCTGAGTGTCACCTCAGCTTCCTCATTCTTCTTTCCCTCACAAAAAGACAGGAAACAGTCATCTTTTATTATATAATTTCACTATCTTAAATTTTTTTATTTTTATTAAACAAAATATTGTATACAAATACTATACTCCTTTTGTAGATTAAAAACTATGATATATATATATATATATATATATATATATATATATATATATATATATATATATATATATATATATATATATATAATTTAAAAAATATTAAAAAATTGAAAAAAAATAAATAAATAAAAAGTTGATCAATCACACGATGAGAGAGTGAATGATACCCCCCTCCCCCTATCCCTTTTCCCGCACCCTTGTGTTCCGGGGGTGTGGGAAACTTTCCCTCGCTTATTTCCCATTCCATCACTACAAGAAATAACACATTTAGGGGCGACCTCTTTAGCGACGACATCAGGCTTTAGCGGCGACACTAGACAAGGTCGTCGCTAATGGTCTCTGTCGTCACTACAACTACAGATGTCGTCTCTAAAGGTCTTCCACCGACGATCCTGTTGTGCCACACGCCATTTAATCCTGACCGTAGGCTGCTATAGTGATCCATCGGCTAGGGTTTCATCTGGTGGGACGCAATAGCGGCGACTCCAATAGCGACGACGGGTCGCCGCTATTGATATCGATCTGTGTGCTTTTCATCGTGACCCTTGAATTGTTTTTAGATCGGACGGCTACCAGGATCCAGAGAATGGCGCGTGTTTTTCCCTCCAACTTGTCGCCGCAATTGGTTCGGGGGTCGCCGCAAAAAGCGTCGCCGCTAAAGGGATCATCCATTTGACTACCCCTGCGTCCAGAAAACTCAGTTTCGCTGGGTACATACACTCCCTCGCAAACTCCGGCGACCATCCAATTTTTCTGCGACATAACGTCAATTTCCGGCGTACTTCACCACCACAAACCACCTCTCCTTCTAGGCTTTCATTTCCCGTGAATTTCCAGCAGATTCCGGCAATATCCGGCCATTTCCGGCGAAATCTAAGTTATCCGGCGAGATTAAAACTCCGGTAAGGTGCGTTTTGCTCTTCCCTTTTATATTTCTCTTGTTTTTTCATCTATATTTAAGCTTAGTTTCAGTTTTTTTGTGATTTTAAGTAACTCCGGTGGTGCTCTCACAATTTCCGGCGGCTAGCAGATATTTCCGGCGACTTTCACTTTTCCGGCGACACTCTGTTTATCGGCAGCAGGTTCCACTTTTTTTTTTTTTTTTTTTTTTGTTGATAATATATGTGAAATGTATATATTTTGTTATGTGAAATTTGCATATTTTTTGGTATGTGAAATTAGATGAAATCTATGAATATATATGTAAAATGTATATGCAAATATGTATGTGTGAATATGTATGAAAAAAATGTATATGTATGTGTGAATATTTATGAAAAAAAATGTATATGTATGTGTATGTATGAAAAAATGTATATGAAAATGTATGTATAAATGTATTTCTATGTGAAATATATGTGTATGTGTATGTATATGAAAAAATGTATGTGAAAAAATATATGTATATGAATTGTGGGCATTTTTATGTGAAAAATGTATGTGAAAATATATGTGAAATATAGGTATTTATATGAAATATATGAAAAATGTATGTGAAAATATAGACATTTTTATATGAATTGTATGAAAAAATATATGTGAAAATATAAATATTTATATAGGGCTGTTATGGGCTAACTTTAGACATATGAAATATTTATTATTATTAGCTTGTATATTAATATTTAATGAAAACTTTATTTAAAATCATCAAATAAATTATATTTTTAAAAATTTAATAACATAGAAAGTATCCATAAAGAAATAGTAATAGCTTACTATTTTAAATAAACAAACTAAAAATAAAATTCTACTAAAGAAATAGTATCCATAAAGATCGTTATAGTACAACGTCTTTATTTTTTTTTTCAAAAAAATTCTATTAAAGTGACGGCACTAAATATGAAAAAAAAATGATATATATAACAAATATATAATATCGTTTATAGTACAATGTTATAAGAAAAAATAAAAATGAAAAATTAATACGCTAAACTAAGTTATAATTACTCAAAATAGAAAAATAAAAACAAAAAGTAAGTTGGGATTAAAAATCAAAATATGGAAAAAAAAAGATAATATAAATAACAAATATATAATATTGTTGAAAGTATAATGACATAATAAAAAATAAAAGTCAAAATTAAGACGCTAAAGTACAATGATATAATAAATAAGTAAGTTATTTTTAGTTTAAGTGTCTTCTTTTTAAATCATCAAAAGCCTAGAATTACCCGCCCGAAATTGATTTAGAAATTAATTTCAGGTTGTCCCCATTTTGGGACTGCTTTTTGAATACCTTACCTCATTTAGGATGTAAATGTGTATTACATGATTGATTGTTTAAGAAATATTCGGTTGTTATTTTCTCTTTGCTCCTCGGTATATAATTTTATATATACTTAGGAGCTAAGGGGAAATGTTGCCAAATTTTTCTTAAATGGTCAATCATGTAATACACATTTGCATATGAGGTAAGGTATTCAAAAAGTGGGTTTAGAAGCCTACCCTTGTGAATACTCTCCCGTTATCCGGTTTCCTATTCCATCTGATTGAGTGGTTATTCTATCCTTATAAATTTTCAATCCTAATTCTAGTTCTTGTAGAGTAAACACTAAAACCTAATCTATATTTCAGTTGCAACATGTCTATTGATAAAACCTGGACTACTATTGAAAACCGTAACTCTACCCTGTTCCAACAAGGACTCGAATCTTTTATCGAGAGGTCCAAACCACACGTCGATAACAAAGGTCAAATCAGATGCCCGTGTAACAAATGTAATGTCAATAAATTTATACTACTAGCCATAATGAAATTCCATATACTTCAACATGGTTTTAGTCCACATTATATTATATGGAAGTATCACGGCGAAAATACAACTCACCTGGTTGTTGAAGACATACCGCGTAGTAACGAGATGGCCGATGTTATTGATGATGTTATGGGGGGTGTGATTGAAAATGATACCAACTGCAACGAAGGGAACCCAGATACCGCCGGTAGCGGTGTCGATGATGGATTTCAAAAGCTGTTAGAGGAAGTGCAATTAAAATTATATCCTGGATGTTCGTTCTCGTCCCTTGACTTTTTAGCAAAGCTGATGCATATCAAGGTGATCAACAAATGGACTGATAGTTCATTCGATCAGCTTCTTGAGTTGTTGCAAACTGCATTTCCTGAAGGAAACAGGGTCCCCCCGTCACATTACGAAGCAAAAAAGACACTTAAAAAGATCGGCTTGGGTTATGAGTCGATACACGTATGTAAAAACGACTGTTTTCTTTTATGGAAAGAACACAGGTTGTTGCAAAAGTGTCCAGTTTGTAATGAGAGTCGGTGGGTTGATGAAAATACAAAGGGCAAGAAGGTTTCTCATAAGGTGTTACGATACTTTCCCCTGACCCCCAGACTACAACGTTTGTACTGTTCTAGACACACATATAAAGATATGATTTGGCACAGTACCGGACGATCCAAAGATGGTACGATGATTCATCCCGTTGATGGTACTTCATGGAAAAAAATTGATATGAAGTATCCTAACTTCTCGAGGGAACCCCGAAACGTACGCTTAGGCCTTGCTGCTGATGGTTTTAATCCGTTTGGTAACATGTGTAATCCTCATAACACGTGGCCTGTCATACTCACCACTTACAATCTTCCACCATGGCTATGCATGAAAGAGTCCTCCTTCATGTTGACCTTGTTGATTCTCAGCCCCAAATCACCCGGGAAGGACTTGGATGTGTTTCTTAGGCCGTTAGTGGATGAGTTGAAGCAGTTATGGAGTTTTGGTATACGTACTAAAGACGCAGCGATAGATACATTCTTCAATATGAAAGCGATGTTGTTATGGACAATAAACGACTTTCCAGCTCATAGTAGTTTATCCGGTTGGAGCGGTCAAGGGTACAAAGCTTGTCCGACTTGCAAAGAAGACACTCCATCATACCGAGTATCAAATAAAGTTGTATATGTTGGTCATCGCCGGTTCTTAGATGTTGATCATCCATGGAGAAAAAGTTTGGACTATAATGGTGAACATGAGACAAGAGGCCCTCCAAGACAGTTTAGTGAGGAAGAAATACAAGCGCAACACGCTCGTCTATTGTTTCGTCCACCGGCTAAAGTAGCTGCTCAACGAGCTGGTATTAAGAGGAATCGTGAGGAGTTCGAGTTGAATTGGTCTAAAAAGAGCATCTTCTTTGAACTTGAGTATTGGTCTTCTCTTGAGCTGAAGCATAACTTCGATCTTATGCATATTAAAAAAATGTAGGTGAGAGTCTTTTGGGTACTTCTCTGATGAATGATAAGTCTAAAGACACATCAAATGCTCGGGCGGACTTGACAAAACTAAACATTCGGAAAAGTCAATGGTTTCTTAGGCCGTTAGTGGATGAGTTGAAGCAGTTATGGAGTTTTGGTATACGTACTAAAGACGCAGCGACAGATACATTCTTCAATATGAAAGCGATGTTGTTATGGACAATAAACGACTTTCCAGCTCGTAGTAGTTTATCCGGTTGGAGCGGTCAAGGGTACAAAGCTTGTCCGACTTGCAAAGAAGACACTCCATCATACCGAGTATCAAATAAAGTTGTATATGTTGGTCATCGCCGGTTCTTAGATGTTGATCATCCATGGAGAAAAAGTTTGGACTATAATGGTGAACATGAGACAAGAGGCCCTCCAAGACAGTTTAGTGAGGAAGAAATACAAGCGCAACACGCTCGTCTATTGTTTCGTCCACCGGCTAAAGTAGCTGCTCAACGAGCTGGTATTAAGAGGAATCGTGAGGAGTTCGAGTTGAATTGGTCTAAAAAGAGCATCTTCTTTGAACTTGAGTATTGGTCTTCTCTTGAGCTGAAGCATAACTTCGATCTTATGCATATTAAAAAATGTAGGTGAGAGTCTTTTGGGTACTTCTCTGATGAATGATAAGTCTAAAGACACATCAAATGCTCGGGCGGACTTGACAAAACTAAACATTCGGAAAAGTCAATGGTTGAAAAAGAGTGGCAACAAGTTCCTTAAACCTCACCCACCTTACTCATTCACGAAACCTGACCGCATTCGTTTTTGTCAGTTTATAAGAGATGTGAAACTGCCTGATGGGTTTGGATCTAACATCAGTAAGAAAGTGAATGAAACCAATAATAACATTATTGGGCTGAAATCTCATGATTATCACATTCTTATGCAACGTTTGATACCCATTGGAGTTAAAGGGCTTTTGGGCAAAGGTGTTTATACACCAATAGTAGAGCTTTGTATGTTTTTTAAGCAACTTTGCTCAAGAACACTATTGGTGAAGGATATGAAAGAAGCAAAAGCAGCCATTATTAAAATATTGTGCAAATTAGAAGTGATCTATCCTCCTGCGTTTTTTGACATTATGGTTCATTTAGTTTTGCATTTACCTGATGAAGCTATTTGTGGAGGCCCAGTATGTATGAGATGGATGTATCCTTTCGAAAGGTATATGAAAAAATTAAAAAACTATGTCAGAAACAAGGCGAGGCCGGAAGGTTCTATAGCTGAGGGTTATGTCGCTGAAGAGGCATTATCATTTTGTTCGATGTACCTTGAAGATGTCGAGACTCGATTCAATCGCATCGAAAGAAACGAGGATGTTGGCATAGAAGAAACAAAGTTATGGGTGTTTCAGTCTAAGTGTCGACCGGCTAGCGCAAAGAAAATGAAAAATCTCAGTCTAGAGGAAAGAAAACGTCTACATTGGTTTGTGCTTGATAGTTGTGAGGAAGTCAGAAAGTATATTGCGTAAGTGTTCTTGTCTTTTAATTCATTTTCTATTTTTAATTTCTCTTTTTTTACTAAATATGTATATTTTTTCATCAATGTAGTGAATTCAAATCATTACATCCTGAAAGTGATGAAAAAACCGAATTCCCTAAATGGTTCCTTCATAAGGTCTATAATATGCAAAAACAAAAATCTCCAGAGTATAACAAGGAGTTATCGGCTCTTTCAATCGGTGCGCATGCGAATGCCTTTACTTACACCGCTTGCATAGTGAATGGTGTTAGGTTTATGGTACTTATGCGTGACGCCCAACGATCAACACAAAACTCGGGGGTTCTAACTGAGGGAGAAAATAAGAAGAAATATTATGGTCAGCTAGAAGAGATTATCGAGTTGCATTATCCTCATAAATATTCCACCGTACTTTTTCGTTGCAAGTGGTTCGATACTGCAGGAGTTAAATCTGATAATAATTTCACCAGTATCGACCCACAACGCGAATTGAGCAACGAATATCAACTCATATTTGCTACGCAGGCCAAGCAAGTATTTTACATCCAAGAACCTTCTCGAAGTGACGAAAATTACAACCAACGGTGGGTTGTTGAAAATGTTAATCATAGAAGAATTTGGGATCTACCGATGAACGATGTCGACCATGATCCCATTGAAAATGTCGACAATGATTCAACCGATCTCGTTCTTAGTAATGTTTCTTCTAATTTCACTCTCTCAATCGACTTTAACCAGTACTTTCAAAATTCTCAATCGGTTGAAGATGATATTGAAGTTGACCCACCAACGAGTATCATCAATAATGTGTCTGATTGCGAGACTGATTATGATGAGGAAGATTATGATTATGATAGTGATGTGTCAGCAGACACTGAAGTGTCTGGGGGCGAGAATGATTAAAAAAATCTTTACATTTGACTAGTAAAATAAGGTTTGTATTTGTTGTAATCATATCATATTATATGTATATATATTCATATTGTGTTATAATTTTTCAGGATGTCATTTTTTTGGATTGCATTGCTCCATCTCATGGCTGCTGTGATGGGCCATGGAGGCGACGGTGGTGACGAGCCACCACATCCGTTCGATGGAGGTTTTGGTGATCACCAGAACGATGGTAATTAAGATTTATTCTAATTCATTGTATTTCATATTGTTTGTATATAAAAAATTATCTGACTAATATTTTTTTATGCAGTGGTACCTCCGAGACGAAGAGGCATGGCGGTAAATAAAAAAATGCACAAACTATTTAAAGCTAATGGTGAATAGCCTCTGAAGATAGTATTCGACATAAATACTAACATGACGATTGGGGAGGTGTATGAATGTTTCATTCGGGAGGTTGGGAGCTATATGTGGCGGGACATCGGTTTTGATAAGGACACATGGACTGATGTTTCTGAAGCCGAAAGGGTTGGCATGTTCCAATATCTTTCGGTAAATTATTTATAAAGTTATATATTTAATATTGTTTAATTTGATTTATTTTTAACTTCTCTATTTCTTTTTTGTAGACATGGTTTGATTTTGGAGCGATTACAAATCATCCCATGGCTCCAACTTATTGGGCATCACTGAACAATCAGATATATGCGCGGTATAGAGGCCGCAAAAATATTGCAAAAAACCGTTTGATTGATTTTGCAGGGGATGTGGAGGCAGCAAGGGCTCAAGCCCCTACGGGTATGGATCGGCAGCGTTGGAATGCTACTATTGACCATTTCTTAACAGAAAAACATCAAAAACGATCCGCTGGAAACAAAGAATGTCGGAAGAAGCAAGTAGTGAAGAATCGTGGAGGGACGTGCAGCTATGGTAGTGCTTGTTTCAAGAAAGTAAGTTACAATAATGCTTATTCAGTTATACCATATTTTTTAGTGTTTATTCAAATATAACATATTTTGTAATGTTAAACAGAATTTGAATAGACTTGAAGTATTTCATCGTGCGCATGTGAATAAAAAAGGGGAATTTGTTGATCCTTTGGTTGAAGACCAATATGTAAGTTATTATTACTTCAAATTCTCGTAGTATATTGTTGGTTTTTTTGTGTTAGTTTTAAAGTATATTAACAATCTTTGTGAATTACAAAATGCCTTAGTTGCTGAGGTTGCTCTACAGACTCATCATATAGCCGACTTTGGTGCTGATCCAGACACTATTGATTGGATCGCAATATTTGAGAAAGTGTTGGGTACACGAAGGGGGCATGTGAGAGGCATTGGGCCTAAAGCTTCTTCAACTGCGGGTACAAGTGCTCTATCCCAATGACAGTCACAGTCACAAGCACCGCAACCAACACATGTACTTGTGACTTAAATTGTTATCGACTTAATTCATTTGGTGCTTTGATGGTTTGATAGTTTGTTGAATTGTTAATGACTTAATGTGTTTGTGACTTAATTGTAGGATGTTGATGTGAATGCTTTTCTTCAAAACCCGGCATTTGTGACGGCCATTGGAGACATTATCCGCTCCTTTAAAAACCAAGTCAACAATGAGGAAAACATTGATGGGGAAGACGAAGACGAAGAAACATAGTATTTCTTGTTTTATGTTATGAATGATGTTATTTTGGATTTATTAGATAGTCTATGGATTATATATTAGATGTTTATGTAAGATTTATTAGATATGTAATATTGTATGTTTGATGTTTTATGTAATGTGGTATATATTTATTTATCTATTTTTATCAAATCTGTGTTTTATTTATTTATGATATAAACTATAATATCATAAAAAATAAGTTTTTGCTAAAAAAAAAAAAAAAAAAAAACATTAGCAGCGACGCCTTTAGGGCGACGTCGACTAATTGCGACGACATATAACTCCGGCGAGCTTTGTCGGAAAAACTCTGTCCGGTCATCGGAATATAAATAGAGACGACAACATTAGAGACGACACAGGAGTATTAGAGACGGCATGTATTAGAGACGACGGCATTAGAGACGACACAGGAGTATTAGCTACGCGTTAATTGCGACGACTCTTTAGAGACGACATGTCGTCGCTAAAAGTATTAGCGACGATAGCTGGAATCAATTGCGACGCTAAAGGCTAGATTTTTTGTTGTGCATACCCACAGGCCTTAATGGATGTATTTATTTATTTTAGTACCTGGATCATTACTTATTCAAAGGTTTATTGATGTGATCATGTGAAAAGAAAGCTAATTATTAAAAATATTATGACCAACTTAATCCATACATATTATATATACTATGTATCTTCTTATCATTAGGCAATAATAAATCATCATAATATTATCATGAATGATCTTATTCAAAATGTAACATCTGATGTAGTGATGTAGCTTCTTACAAGTAATTAATTAATGCACGCATACAAGTAATTACAGCAATGAAATATAATCAACCAAGCTCTTTAATGACTGATGAGAAGATCCGCCTTTTTTGAGAGAGAGGTTTACCTTCTCCTTGAGACAACTTATCCTTTCACGCATTTCTTCTCCTTCTTTATCCATCATTACTCTTCTAAGTGCCATCTGGATGCCCTTCCTCTCAAACCCATCCTCCAACAAAACACCAATCTTCCAAACATCGCTCACATATCTTGCATTTATTGGTTGATCAGTAAAACAAGGCGAACAAACCATAGGAACACCTTCGCATATGCTCTCCAATGTTGAATTCCATCCATTATGAGTCCAAAAACACCCCGTTGCTGGATGAGCTAACACGTCTTGTTGAGGACACCATTTCACGATATGTCCCCTATCACCCACTTCTTTTTGGAACCTTTCAGGCAAAGACTCGAGCCATTCTGAACCACGAACCACCCTTGGTCGAACCACCCACAAAAACGGTAAACCAATATTCACCAACCCATGAGCCACTTCTTGAAATTCCGACATGGTAATCTGCGCAGCACTTCCAAAACTTACGTATATCACAGACTTGGGAGCTTGGGTGTCTAGCCATGAGAGAATTGTCTTGTCTTGCTCGATCAAACTGCTGGAGGATGATGAGAAGTACTTGTTTAATGGGCCTATAGTGAAGCTAGGACATGGAAACTCTTGGCAGATGGTTTTTAGAGAAGGTTCTTCAAGTTCTTTGAAGGTGTTCCAAATGATCCCTGACGATGATTTCATCTGTTTAAGCATGTTGGTGAGGAAGTCGCCATAACTTTTTGGATTGATTGTCATTTTCATGACGTCTTTGACTTTCAGAAGCGGAAATTCCGGCACCGTTGCTTCATAATCTAAATCTGTAAACATTAACAATATTCATGATCCAAAAGTAAGGAAATTAAATCATACGACTGTCATTGTACGTTTTGAGTTCGTTTTTGAACCAATTAAAACGTCAACCTCGTCTCAAGTGAACCGATATACTTTAGTAATGAAGAGTATCTGTATATTTATCATTAAACTCGTCGCTTTTATGGATACGTACAGGATGAACCTGCACTTAATTAAACATCTGAAACTGAGTACCTTCTTTTGTAAAATTAAAGCAAATATTTTTGGATTTAGAGAAAACGGGTAAAACGCCATAAGCAGTGGTGCAAGATAAACTGCCTGTTCGCAGCACCATCCGAGGGAGTTTCAGTGTGTCCGCCACCGCCTGTGTGAAGTAGAATCCGGCGTCTGTGATAAGACAAGCGATCGACCCTTTATTGGATTCAGCCAACAACCCAGTGAGACAATCCGTAAACGGATCTACACAGCTTCTATTAAGGTAATTGAGGAAATGACCGGGATCCGGTGCCGGGATCGTCGGCAACTGGTGTTCGATCTCATGAAATCGATCGGAGATGGAGTTGAAGGTGAAGTGAGGATAGTTTGAATGAGTGGGGGCGTTGTACTCGGTGTGTATGATGGTTATTTTGAAACCTTGGGTGTGGAGAATGTTTGCTAGCTGAAGCATAGGATTTATATGACCTTGAAATGGTAGGGGAAACAATATTATTCTCCGGCAAGGTTCCCTCGTTTGTGTCGACCGGAGTCCAGTCTCCATGCTTATTAGCGAGGTTTAGAGTGGAGGGAGGGAGGCTAATTACCAGAATAATGGAAAACGATCTATTTGTTGGTTTTTATAGAATAACGAAGATGCATTTATTTTGTGTTGATTGTTATTTTTATTTTGTTGATCGATCTGACTTCTTTTACGTTTGGGTAAATTACACCGATGGTCCCTAACAAATTTTTTTAACTCGGACCGTCCTAATTTATATTTTTGTTGCACGTTTGGTCCCTATCAAATGTAAAAAAGACTACTTTGCCCTCATCTATTTTTTAAATTAATTTGTTATTTATTTATTTAAAAAGTGAAATATATTAAAATGAAAACTCATCCCCACCCCTTACCCCCCATCCCACCCCTCCTTATGTCCCGCCATCCGAAAGCAACCTCCGACCACCATTGCCCTTCGATTAAATCCCACATCCGGTCATCGGCACCAAATCCGGTCATCATCTACGACCAAAGATCCAATACCACATAAATTACCCAAAAATCAACACAAAGCTATCTAACGTTCAACAATAAATCTGAATATACATCTAAAACCAAATTGTAACTCAAATTCAACACCAAAATAAAACCTGAAAATGATGATGAATTCTAGAAGAAAACCAGATTCAGGTGAACCCCCTATCCTTTTGACAATAGCAGAAGAATACACTTTGATGCCTTCACCGCTTCACGCCTATCCAATCGATGATGAATCCTAGAAATTAATTGTGGTCTCAAAGATCGGTGAAAATAAAGAAGATCGATGATGGGCAATCGATGTTTGAAACCCAAAAATCCAATCTAGAGACCAAAAAGATCAATGATAAACCAAATCGTTTTTTGTTCCATGTGAGAGAAGGGGGAATTCAGTGGGTTCGAAACTGAATAAGGGGGAAGAAATAAAGACCCCACTGATCTTCAGAAACCCTAGAATTCATGTAACGACCCAATTTTCACGCCCAAAAATTTCGTTTTAATTAAGTTATTATATAAAACCATCAATAAAAAAAAACATTCATATTAATATCTCATGTCAAAATCCAAGTGTCAATAATCAAACATATTATCATAAAACCATATCAGAGTGTAATCCCAAAGATCTCATGTGCGGAAAACATAGTGTGATGCGTTGCGATCGAACCGGCTCCTTTCCTTGAAAACAAAGTACCTGAAACCAAAACTGAAAATCGTAAGCACGAAGCTTAGTAAGTTCCCCAGATACCACGTACCATACAAACCAACTGATCCATACATGCCATACATAGCCAAGAGCCATTCATAACCAACATATCCATAATCAAGTAGGGTGCTATGTGCCAAACATAGTCTTGCTAAGGTGCTATGTGCCAGACATAGTCTTGCGGTTATGCCACGGGCCGCACGTGGTCTTCCTGGTCAAGCCTGGGGCCACTCCCTGGGTCTTACAGACAAGTGCCAAGGGCCACCCCCTGGTCTTTCATGCAAGTATCACAAAGACAACTATCCAGACTACTCTACTAGGCTACTCCGCATATAGTGTGCCAGGAGCCACCCCCTGGTCTTTCATACACAATAGCATACAATGCGCCAGGAGCCACCTCCTGGTCTTTCATACATATTGCCTAGGGCTAACCCACGGGTCTTCCTATCATACATAAGAACATATTGTGTGCCAGGAGCCACCTCCTGGTCTTTCATGCATAATGCCTAGGGCTAACCCCCAGGTCTTCCTACCATACATAAACTAAATGGGTCGGCATTGTGGCCGTAGACCCATACAAACAGTGAGGAGACTCACCTGCACTGCTGAACTTTTGCTGAACCTTCTGACTGCTGACCGACAATTCTCTGAACCGCTGCTCCACTAGCTCCCCGAGCTACCAATATCAATATACATAACATTTAGATCCAAACAGAACTCTAGAAGCCAACTAAGTCCACTCTTGCCAAAGTCAAAGTCCTGGTCAAAGTCAACCTTCCTGACTGGCTCTACTCGCCGAGTCAACACGTTGACTCGTCGAGTCCTTATACTCCGAAACTCTCACAATACGCCTCAACTCGCCGAGTCACCCCCGTCGACTCGTCGAGTTCAACGATCTCCGAGTCCCATCCTGTCCAACTCACTGAGTCACCACTCAACTCACCGATCTAAGTCTTAACCAGCAAAGGTTGAGGTTCTGAGGTCCAACTCGTCGAGTCCAAGAACAGACTCGCCGAGTCCATGACAATATTCAACAGACTCGCCGAGTTGTTCTTCCAACTCGTCGAGTTCCTGCCTATCTTCATCCAACTCGCCGAGTCCACCCATGTGACTCGCCGAGTAGCTTCAGTTCTTAATCCATACAGTGGCTTTTCGAGCCATGCAGGGGTTCCAAACCATAGATCCACTCTTCTACAGTCTATCCCCCACGTAAAGTTGCAAACTTTACGTGAAACCAAGAGGCTAAAACCCAAAACACTCTAGGGCTAGGGTTCTAGACAAGCATGCTTCACCAACACCCCCAAGACTGATACTTTATGGTTCTCTAGGCCGAAACACACCTAGATCTGAAGTAGCAACTTCAGATCTGGACTTCTAACTCGAGATGACTCTTAATCATGCCATAAAAGCCCCAAATCTCATAACAAAGGTAACACTTTAAGCAAAAGAGTGAAGGTAACGACTTCTTACCTCCTAATGCTCTGAAAAGTCCCACCAATTCTGGATCTAAAGCCAATTCTTGAATCACCAAAGGTTTCCTTCCTCCTTCTTCCTTCAAATCACCCAAAATGGCAAGAAAGCTTGAATGTGCTAAAATGGAGGCTTAGGGTTTCGTGTTCTGGATAAGAGAGGCTATAGAGAACCCAAAGGGGGAGAATGAGATGTTTATACAGTGCACAAAGTCCTGGATTTAGGGTTTTCCTCTTCAGACCGGACTCGCCGAGTCCTCTTGCCGACTCGTCGAGTCGGTCACTTACTCTTCGACCCGGATCTCGCTCGGACTCGTCGAGTTCCACCCTGGACTCGATGAGTTGACCCCTTTGACTTAGGGTTTCTCCTTTCCTTTCTTAGTCTTCCTGATTCTGGGTGTTACAACACTCCCCCACTTAAACTAGACTTCGTCCTCGAAGTCTGCCACGGCCCACTATCTTACCATCTGGTCGCCACTTTACCACTAGGTACACACCCCGCCCATCCGATTCAAACCTTGAAGATGTAAACTTCAGAATATCTCGTTACTTACTACCTTCGAGTACAACACTTTTATCCAACCGGTAATCAAACCGATACTCCTGATACACTTACCCTTGATTCGCAAGGGGTTTACCCTTTTACCCTACACTGTCACTGGCCTTCCTAAGGCACTTTCCACAAGCAACAACCTTCCTAATTTCCTTCGAGGACCCATCCTCTGCTGAAACCGCAATCCCGGCCACTCCCAGTGCCGGCCATCATACCAGTACTCACAGAATAACCCCCATGCAATGCCCCAATACCGAAAACTCCACCCAATCGTGAGAATTCAGACAATCCTTCGAGTAGCAGATCCCTCTCTGCTACGTTTCAGGCTCAGACGAGAACGGCGTCACCGAGCCCAATCCTTTACTCTGAGATTATCCGATCCCGCGATGCGCAGCTTAGCATTATCTGATCAGCTCACGGCTTTTCACACCGAACCCCTTACCATCCTTCCTGCCTGTAGTCCTGTTGTCTCCCATCCGCCTATCGGATGAATCGAGACTGCCCTGGCCCCAACTGATCTACCATTACCCGGAATACCGGTTTCCCCATGCTACCTCGGAGATACAGGCCCTCGCCTACACTCCACGAACTAAGCTACTAATAAATGCCACAGCTTACCCGCAGTCTTACACCACTCTTGGTCTCCAATGACCTACCGTCTTCTGGACCCAGTCATAATGTGGCCCGCTCACATCCGGGCGGCTGCCCCGTCCTGAACTTAACTGCCTGAAAATTCTGCCACTGAATCATACACCTGATACATTTGCACTAGCAAATAGGGACCGACGAACGCTACGGGCCACCCCGTAGTCTTACAACACTTCTGCGCTGCCAGCCAACTAAAGCTACAGGCCACCCCCGCAGTCTTGCTATACTCACATACGATTGCTACGGGCCGCACTGCAGTCTTACTAAACTAATGCTACGGGCCACACCGCAGTCTAACTATCCTCACATATGATTGCTACGGGCCACACCGCAGTCTAACTATCCTCACATATGATTGCTACGGGCCACGCCGCAGTCGCACCACTCTTCGACGCTATCTGCTAACCATTGCTACGGACCGCCCCGCAGTCTTACCACACTCTTCTTACTATCTGACCACTGGTGAATGCTACGGCCATCCGGTAGTCTGACAACACCCTTCCCCACCGACTGGCTGCTAGTGGATGCTACGACTAACCCATAGTCGAGCCTACCAGCACAATCTAGTACCCCCAAGTGGTACTCATGTCCCAACTGGAACTCCCAACCGATTCCTCTGCAATCTGCTACTAGACATCTCGAGAATGAGGTCTCACAATTGTCAAGTTTTCCAAACTTCCAATTCGCACTGTCCTCAATTCATACAGCCACCTGGGCCGTCTTCCTTCCTGACAGGAGAGCAAAACTTATCCTAGTTTCAAAACCGCTTCTGCTCCCATAACATGATCGTTTCTCCCCCACTTAGCTTCAGCTAAGTCTTTACTGCACGCGAAAATCCGAGGATTTCCATTCCTTCCTTCCTTACACGATAGGCATGATAACCACTATCGCCCTAATCTTGCTAGCGATCCGTCGCTAGCCCACTCCAAATACCGTACGATTACCGAATACTAGATAAACACCTCCCGCATCCCTGAAACTGATAATCCCCTGAGCTTAATCTGACGTCCTTAAAGTCTGAATAACTAATGCTTAAAGCAACCTCCTCAGTGATAGGCCACTT